GTTTCAAACTTTGGGTTACTCTCGTCCCTCTACCTCACACAAATTTACTAAAAAATAAAAAATAAAATATCCAGATTATTCCACAATATGGCTCTATTATATGCTGCCAACTCCAGTACTTGTACTTTGGAATCTAGAAGGTTGAATTAAATACTGTCAGCTTGTATTATACGAACCTGAGGTACTATAATACATATCAGTGTGTACATTGCATGAATCATCATTCATCTCTTTGCCATTTAGATTTATGATTGTACCACCCGTGCTTAATGAATGTATGATGTATAGTATGTGACATTTTTAATATGCGCCAGTTAATTAAGTCAAACTCAATTCAGTGCGATGCGTCATCAACTCCGCATCACACACACTCAACCTTTCTGCCAGTGATCTGACTTGTGAGGACGGGAAACATCCCGATACGTAAAGATAGCGTCCTTTTCTGTCCCCTGCTGACTTTATATCGTTCACTTACCCAGCTGCTCCTGTGACGTCCCTTCTTCCAGAAAGGTGATTCTCTCCAGGACGGCCCAGAACATCACCCCCAGGGAGAAGATGTCCGCCTGGGCCGTGTAGGTGAGTCCACCCCACACCTCCGGAGCCATGTAGAAGTCAGAGCCGCAGGTGGAGGAGAAGTGCTGCCTGGTCAGATGGCCGTCCATCGCACCTTCGCTCATCTTGCTCAGACCAAAATCTGCCACCTGGAGGTTGAACAGGGAGAGTAATTAAAAAATAATAATAATAATAAATTGGCTTTATTTGTGTAGCACTTTTCAGAATCTAGGTTACAAAGTGTGTCACAGGGTGGCAACATGAAACAGGAAGTCATGAAAATCATCAGAATTTAAGAAAAGCACAACAAGGTGTGTCAAACCAGCACAGTGTTAAAGAGGACTAACACACAGTTCAAAAGTAAAAACTCAAATAAAGTCAGGAAAGGCTTCCAGATAAAAAAGCAAAATCCAGCATGCTTAGTGTCAACATAAGGCTTAAATACGCTTTCCACAAAAGTAGAAGTCAAGAAAGTTTACTTTCTTTTAAGCCGATGCTTTAGATAAAAAGTTCCTCAGTAAAAAAAAAGTCATGTCCTCGTCAGCTGATGTTTAATTTTCACCTGGAAAAAACGGACAACGGTTGCTGATATGAAGAATTGCTTTTCCTGCATAGAGGATTTTGTTGGTGCCCTCCAAAGAGGTTTTAGGCACACCTTCATGTTAATTTAGCAATCAAAGAAAAATCCCCATTTTTTTTAAGTATAGTCGTTACCTCTTACAGGTTTATCAAATAAGATTAGCCTTTATTAATCCCAAAGTAGAGTTACAGTAGCAAATGGGACCGTGCAAAAATGTAAATAAAATTTTTAAAAAATGCACAAGCACTTATTCTTCCATATGTGGATATTCAGATTCTGCACAGATTCTCCTGGATGTGGAAATTAACAATATTGCACAAATCAATGGCACTGCACAGATTCTTCCATGAGGAGAAATACTGATAGAAGATATACTGATATTGATATTCAGATTCTTCAGAAAAGTACTAACATGCACAGGTTCTTGTATATGCAGAACATTCAATGTTCAAAATATTCCTAGAGTTTGAGTGTCTTGATATTGCCCAAAAATGAAGCATGAGAGTTTTTCAGCGTGCGGTTTGCTGGGAGCAGAGCTGGGCTTCATTTACACAAGCACAACAGACACTTTTGTTTAGCAAATATGAAGAAATCCATAGATTTTTGTTAAATAAGGGAACATTGCCTTTACTCAGTTTGCACACGGATCGATCACGCTTACTGCCGTGTGTAGTCACCCAACTAAAAGCATATTCTCAGCCAAGAAAAACCACAATATCAATATGCGGGAAACACAGTAAAGCTGAAAGAATTTGTGAATCAAAAAGTCAGCTGGCAGTAAATTAATCAGTGGTTATTTGATGGTTTTTCTTAAACTCAACACACAAACAAGTGACAAATTAAAGAAAAAAACTGCATGAACGAGTGCAGAAACAATAAATGCAGATGTGGCTAATGTAGAAATACTGACCAGACCCAGCTCATTCTGATTCTGCCTCAAGATGGTAAGAGGAAAAGATCTAAGTGACTTCAGAAGAGGGTTTGTTGTTGGGGAAGCGATAACAGGGGCTTACGACACAAAGACTGACTAGTGTTTCAACAGGAAACGTGACTAAACTGACATCTGCATCTCGATCTCCGGTAAAGACGTGAGTAAATGGGGTCAGAAATTGCGGTTCGCGGCACACGTTCGGTGATTGTGGCGCTTGAGAATCAATGAGAAAAACAGAAACAGCAAATCATTCTCAGGTGAGTGAGAATGTCAACACAAGATGTGATCAGACTGTCAACAGAGGAACAATCCGGGAAGGTGGCAGTGCAAACCTTTCATTACAAACATGAACGCAGAATTACTGAGAGTTCAGTGGTGCCAAAATCACTGGGGCCACAGAAATATAGGAAGAAAAAAAAAAGTGATAATGGCCAGATGAGTCATCCTGCAGATGCTGGGGGGGGGCGTTTTACTGGCACTGCTCGGTCCAGTTGTCCCCTTAGAGGGAAGCGTCACTGCCAAATAATGCAAAGTTATTCAAAGGGATCACCTTAAGCTATGATGGAAATCCTGACGAGGGTAGTTTCTTACAGGCTGACAGCGCCTCCGTTCACAGTGCACGAGGGGTCACTGAATGATTTGATGAGGACATAAATGACGTGAATCCTGTGTTATGGTCCTCACAGTCACCAGAGACCTGTAGAGGAGTGTGGTGGTCCAGCTACTTATTAAGACACTTGACGTAGTTTTTTTCCATTTAATTTGTCACCCATCTGTTTGTCAACTTGGTTTTTGTGCATTTAATAGATTAACAAATTAAAGAAAACATTAAAAAGATTACTGAATGACAGAAACAGTCCTTAGTTGCAGCCCTATCACACATATTTTGTGAATTTGACACAGCAGGACTCCTTTTTTAAGCATACCACTACTAAAACTAGATTAGCATAAGAAAAAAACAAAGAAATGGAGTTTGGTGTCATTAATTGACTATAAATTTCCAGGTTTAAGTGCTTAGAGTTGCAACAACTGGTCAGCTGAGTAGAACTTAATCTGTATTCCCAATGTATTTATTGTGAGATATTTTCTTTTTGAGTTTTTGTTGCAAAAACATTGTAGCTCAAGTGTCAAAACCTGCAACACAGCAGATTGTGTCTCTTTGGGTTTGACAATCTACTTTCTGACATTTTCCAGATAAAATGCCTTTGTAAGTGTTCACTGTGACGACTAAGATGAATGCTTGCGTAGGCAAATGTACATTTGGTGTATTTTTGTATTTAGCCGCTTAACTACAAGATTTACGTAAACACCACGCATGAGGACTTCTTGCTTCTTGACGACAGTGTTGTGACAGATATTTTCTCCACAGCTGCTCTGTGCTTTGAGTAATCAGAGCAACCATATGTTAATAGTTCAGATACACAGGGATAAACACAGCATTTTCTTTTTTCAATTGCTTTTTCATATTTCACTCTATTATAATGTTTATTGTGTCTCAGGCTCACTGCTGCTGTGAAAGCTAAACGCCTCCTGAGAGAATAAAATAACTATCAATTACTGGTGTGTCTTCAGACTCCAACAGTGTGAGTTTTCCATCAAGTTTGGTGCCGTCTGATGTGAGATAAACAATGACACATCATAACAAGCTGCCTACCTTGACAACAGGGCCCTTTGGCGTCACACAGACCAGCACATTGTCAGGCTTTAGGTCTCGGTGGGTGATGCCGAGGCTGTGCAGGAAGGAAACTGCGCTGCAGAGCTGTCGTACCACGCTGTGGTTACGCTGGCCATCTGGGGGCCTGGAGAGCAGATACTGATTTAAATCACCTCCATCGCAGTATTCCATCACCAGCCACAGGGCCAAGCAGCGCAGAGGTCCGGGCTGCTCTTCCTCGCTCTGCGCTGGTCTCTTCCTGGCTCTGTTTGAAGGTCTTTGTGGGGTTGTGGAGTCAGAATTTGATTTCTCCTGAAGCTTTGCTCTGGCCTGGACAGTGTTGGTCCTGTCCTGAAGTCTAGAGGCAGAATTAGTCCTCCTCTTGGTGTCAGACTGGACATTATTTGTTTCCTCGCTTTGTGGTGCTCTAACCACACTGCCCTTCAGCACACTCTCAACCAGACGCAGAGGCAGTTTTCCAGGTTTTAGGGGCTTCAGGCTCCGAGGTCCTGTCTGCTGGAGGCAGCTGTGGAGTGCAATGACATTAACATGGTTCTTGGCTGTGGCTCTCATGGCCCACAGCTCCTGCAGGTAGAGCTCAATGCACTCCGGGTTGCTGCAGGGGAGGCGCTTGATAGCCACCTTCTGTCCTGTTTTGGCCATACGGCCCTCAAACACCACACCGTAACTGCCTCGTCCCACCTCCCTCTCCAAGGTGTAGAGCTCCTCCATCTCTCAAAGGAGCGGGAGCCTGATGTGACTGCAAACAAAAATAAAATGATTACTGTTGGCACAATAAAAACGACATGTAGCGCAGTCACATACAGGATACAATAGAAGTGAGTGTGCAATATCACTTAAATGTCAAAAATTCTATCACCTTATAGTAACTGAATTACTTTAAAAATAAACGTAAGGAATTTGTTCTTGTAAAAAATTAAAAACTAACAGTTTAAACATACTATATTGAAAATGCAGGCCATGCAGTAGGGACAGTGTTACTTTTATTACTGAGATTCAAATCTTGTATTTTTCATTACTTTGTATGTCCCCCTTTATTTTGGATGCCATTGATGTTCTATTGGATGTAATATAGGCAACATATTCAACCAGGTCAGTGTGCTTTGAATCCCCAACACGCTGGAATATTTCTCTTCCGCATTTCAGTTTATCCACGTACTTCATGGTGCATTTATAAGTGTCATCACCTGTTGCACTCATGTAGTCCCATATTACCACACCTCCACCTCTGTGCTCCACAACTGGGACTATGTATTCACTGTGGTAGTCCTGACTAGGTTCACGCCAAACATGCTGGATGCAATCAGAGCCAAACAAATAAACCTTGGTCTCATCTGACTAAAGAATATGCTACTTCTCAGGCCTCTTTTCATGCATTTTAGCACAGTTTAATGTTTCAGTTTGGTGCCTGAGAGCAAGCAAGGGTTTTTTTTCCCCTTGTCTTGCATGCCGTCTATAGAGGTTTGCATTATGCAATGTCTGTCTGAGCTGTCACAGAAACACTGATTTTTATTGACAACCCCTGCACTATGTCTGAAGCACTCGCTCGTTTGTTTGTCAAAGTTAAATTGTGCAAGAACTGAGCTGTCCTTGTTATCATTTTAGGAGTACGACCACTGCAGCTGTGATTAATGACACTGTGCCTCATTGTTTAGCTCCTGATTGCAGCTGCAACTGTGTTTTGACTGATATTTACTTGGTAGCCAATCATCCTGTAGTCTTTTGCAGCTTTGTAAAGTTTCACAGTATCATTTTTTTCGTTCTTCTGGTACTTCTTTTGCATGTGGAGCCAAGATGCAGGCATACAAATAGTGTGTGAAGAAGTCTGTTTACTTTTAAGGCATTGAATTTCTACTTTGGGGCCTATATATTTTCAATACATCCCTTCTAAGGAATATGTTTTGATCGTTAATAAGATCAAATACTCTAATAGTCAGCTTAGAGACAGTGTAATTACTAAGAGGTGATGTAATTTTGAATTATTTGCCATTCGAGTGTCAGGAGAGCTCAGCTGGGATTTGCAACAGGAACGTTGCACAACCTACACTGAATGTGCTAAAACTGACTTTTTGCTAACGTGTGTAGCTGTCACTGCACATAACAATGAAGCTGACATACACATATGTTGCATACACACAGTTTAGAGTACAAACAATGACTTAAATGTTCAAACTGACTCTCGACAATGCATGAACTTAGATAACCCACTGAGCGTCCGTAACATGGCGCTGCCTGTCGTTTAAAAAAGGAAGCGAAACACAAAGCGAAACGTTATTCTTATTTCCAACTTACCTACAAGACTTCAGGTTATATTACCAGCCACAGCTCGACTTGAATCTATATGACTGACAAATCGCGTCGCCCCATATTCAACGAATCAAGCTTCTTTTTTTTTTTTGAAAAATTGTCGACCAAACAACTGAGGGGAAACTGGGGGCAGAGGGGGCAGACTTCCGTGTCTACATTCGGAACGTCCCGCTTTGTTCTTACGTGCATCGTGATTGGCTGCGAAAGTTCAGCCGCGCGTTGTAATTGGTCGAGAGCAGAGCGTGTAACGTGATTCGAATTGTCCAAGCTAATAACAGTTAGCACCAAGCGAGCACAAGCAGACTAAGGAAGTTGATTCAAACCAGCCATTAGTGTCAAAACAAGGTACGGAAAAGGAAGAGTAGTTTCGGGGGGATGAAAACAATCGACGAAACGTTTATTAATATATTTCAGCACCAGAAAGTCACATTAATGATAAAATACAATGCTAAATGACGCAGTTATTAAACAAGTTTCAAAATAACCAAAACATTAGGGGCTTAGTTCAGCAGCCTTTGCAGATATTTGCTCCATTTTCACGTTAGTTTACAAAAATAATATTATTAAACGTAAGCGACTGTGCTCTATAAGCATTGTAAAGCCATATCACTTTATTTTGATGCCTAACCCACGTTAATATCACAGTGAGTGTAAACTAGCTAGAACAGTAGTTCTCAATCTGTGTGTTTTAGGATTAGTCCTATTTACAATTATTCACACAAATACAATCATTTGTAAAGCTGGGCCTCAGAAACACTGGTTTTAATACGTTTTATTTTATAATAACTTGGATGCCCAGTCTGTTAAACAGGCCAGGAGAGGAGATGCAGGTGCTGCTGAGGAGGAAAAGTTCACCTATAAAGTCCCATATCACAATACTCTAAGTTATAAACTAACAATAATAAAACAACACCTTCCATCTGTGTTGCTGAGAAAAACAAATCTACCCATAGTAAAATGACAACTATAGCAGCATTCAATATATCAGTAAAATGTTTTTTTATTTTTTTATTGCTACTCAGCAACCTGTTGCCCTATTTTTTAGAGATTAGAGAGATAATGATCTTTATATAGTTATATGGGAAACATCTATGCACACGATAATATCACTTCTGCAAACACACTGCTGCAAGACTGAAACTGAGAAGTGTCTGTGGTAAAACACGTGACATGACAGACTTAGGTAAACAAATCAGACTTTTATGAACAGTAAAATAATATCCCACTGTTTGGATTAACTGTACTAACAACACCACTGATAATAACCATGAAAGCAGACTTTTATTCCCCCTGTAGGGGGGAATAAAAGTTTAAATTGATTTGATATAGAAAGAATACCTTATTGCAGGTGTCTTTTTTGGTAGTCCTCCTTTTTCAGTACCAACAAGCAAAACAAAAGGTTTTTTTGGCTATATTGAGAAGAACTATCAGTCATTTTGACCCTGAAATATTAAAATTTTGGTGAAAATTAGGGGCTGCAAGTTGGCACAGTTGGTTAGCACTGTTGCCTCACAGCAAGAAGGTCGCTGGTTTGTGTCCCGGTGGGGGCACCGGGATCTTTCTGTGTGAAGTTTGTATGTTCTCCCCGTGCAGCGTGGGTCTCTCTGTGCAGTCTCTCCGGGTTCCTCCCACAGTCCACAGACATGTTGAGGTTAATTGGTGATTCTAAATTGTCCGTAGGTGTGAATGTGAGTGTGCTTGGTTGTCTGTCTCTAAGTGTAGCCCTGTGATAGACTGGCGACCTGTCCAGGGTGTCCCCTGCCTTCACCCTGAGTCAGCTGGGATAGGCTCCAGCCCCCCGTGACCCTAGTGAGGACTAAGCGGTGTATAGATAATGGATGGATGGTAAAAATTGATCTGATAACAATAAAAACTAAAAAAAAAAGACTGCCTCATTTTGCAGTCCTAACTTGTATGAATAAGATTTTTTTTCAGAAAACAGTATAGAAGTGCTGAGAATATATTTTTAAACTGATAAAATCTTTCATTGGGTTAATATTCACTTTTACTGATTAAATCCACGACTGAATTATGCCGTTTTTAAGCAGCAAGGTTCATAATAGTCTTGAAAACATTGACTTTTTTTTATCCCTGCAGTTACAAATAGCCAAGTAAGTTTGTGAAATTTCTCGTATTTGTATTTAAAATAGATGTCACAGAACAAAACTTTATATTTTTGTCATGTTTTTGCCAAATATCAGGCCCCTTTGGCTTCGTAGATTCGGCCTTTAACTTTGGATTAAATTGATCTGAAAAGGAAAGAAAACCTGCCCGGAAGTGTTTTGTCTTTTTTGCTGGTCCTCGCTTTTCGGGGCCGGCAAACATTTTGTGAAAAACAAGCTAAAAGTGCTGAGAATACATTACTTTTTTTTTTTTTTCAAAGCAAAAAAAATGAAATTGTAATGTATTTTCAATACTTCTACCATGAATGCCTCACTTTTTTTGTGTGAATCTGAATAAGTATTCTATCACCGGCTGTGACACCTTTGTACGAGCTATTTAATGTGACAAAAAAAGCACCAAAAGTACAAAAAAAACACACCACACCAAACGTCCCCTTTTTGCTGCAGTCCCATTTAATCACAAAAGACCCTGTGAACAAAACACACACCTATACACACCGACACAATGAGTGGGTGCTGCATCAGTATCGACTGTTTTTCGGTGGAGGAACGGCAACGGTGGTGATGACAGATAACAGCATTCGTGTGTTTGTTCTTCTGAGGGAATATAATAGGAAACATGGTGATTCATTGCACTGAAGCACACAGTGAAAGAAAAGAGCTGCTTTGAAACGTGTGCTTATGTGATCCATAGCTTTTTTTTTTTTTTTTTTTTTAATCAACGGTGCCAATCAAGAGCATTCTTCATTACTTGAAGGAAGATGGAGTCAGTCACACTTCACTTGTTTTTATCTTGGTGCGAATGCCCTTTATTCTATTATCATATGTCACTTGCGTTGACAGATATTTGGATGCAAGAGTTGTGGTTGAAGAATTTACTAGGTGGTGTTACGTTGGACAAAAGAACCCGAATTGAATTTCCCGACAAATTCAATAAAGCTTTCCAGGCCCCCCAAAAAGATGTTAATGAGTCCAATAAGAATTATAGTTTTAATCACCTCTGTTTTCATACTAATGGTGTTTCGGTGGTGCTAATTAAGGAGTCCACCAACAGGAGGGGCAAGAGTAATTATTTTCTTGATTGAGGTCAGAACCCTTGCATTTAATCCCGAGGTCTATCCCGAGCTTCCCCACACACACACACAGAGTAAACATCTTCTCCGCATCCCGTACTCAATTTCACAGCAGTCACTCTAACAAATGATTTTCTTCCTCAGTAAATCCACCTTTTCATTGGAAACACTGCCGCCCGTCCTCATGTCTTTGTTGTCTTTACATATAAAGACACGTGGGACACATTTCATGGTGTCCATTCTCTACAGGTTTTATGAGAAATAAAGCGCCTCTCTGGCTTCTAAAACCTCCTCTAGTGACACTGAAAAGAAAATATCTGACGGGGAGTTACGCAACAAGATCGATATACAAACGCATGACATACTGCTGCATGTCTCGCCGAATGCTTACACCCCGAAATAAAAGTTTTCCAGCGTGTTTTGGTGCTTGACGCTGCAGATTTTTCCGAGCTAAGGTGTAATTTTTCTTCTTCTGCGCAAAATTAAGGGGGCTTTTGGGATGGAAATGTAATTCTTTTCCAGGCAAAAATTCATCTTCAGGCGCAATGTTAATAACAATCAGTTGTGTCTTGACAGGTGGAAGCAGCAAGCCGCCATAAAGCACCGCCGAGTGCCCCTCGGTTTCACATCATTGGGTTTCATTGTGCGGGAGGACGGTAAAACACCTCAGCTGGATGAGATGGAGAGCTCGGCTTGGAATGAGCAGCGGACTTCAGCCAGACGCCGGTCAGTTTTTTTGGTTGCAGCTATCTGTGAGAGTTAGACGAACTCTTTTGGCAAGGAGAACATGAGACATCAGTCAGCAATTTTTTCATCCCTAAAAACCACTTTGAGCTATAAAATCAAATCATTAGTGCAGGAAGTAAGAATATAAGTTGGTGTCCCAGCCATTAAATCAAGAAATGACACACTTTATATGCAGATTTAAGTATTTAGGCATTTTAAAAAATTGGGGAAAATACGACCAAGTGATGATTTCTTGATATTGGAAAACAGAGTTCATTATCAGGGGCTCCTTTGAGACACATAATGCATAGATAAGCTCTGCTTTTATGTCAGCTATGATTTCTCTAATACCTCATAAAAGGTGTTGTTTCTTTCTTATTAAAGCATTTATTCATCATTCTCTGTTTCATGGTCAAAAAATGAATATTATCGATTGTTTATCACGTCTCCATTGATACAAATCAATTCATTTTCATCACAACAAATTAACCCTCATTGGACTATTCACTGCGATGCTCTCTATAGCTTTAACATTGTAATATGGCTGTTTTTCCAAACCAATTATACATTTCTATAGAGGGTTATTTATGTAGCTAATCCTAGTGGAGTACTATTGAGTGATGAAAGCAGTGTTTGTTCAGTACTGGAGCTGGTTTGGCTTGTATCCAATGCAGAAGTATTTTTTCCATATTTACAAAAGCAACAATATTATCCTCTGTAAAAAGTGGTACTAGAAACCATTTTGTTTGTCATATAATAATAATAATATTAATTTATAGAGATCTTTTCAAAGCTACAAAATAAAACAGACAGGTCATTTAATTTGTAGATGCATTTGAAGACATGCTTTCCATAAAACACTTCAGAAATTACACCATTTATCAGAGCCAGAACCTGTATAAACAAAATGACTCAACTTTCCTTGAACCACTCATCTGTGACACGTCATCCCATCTGGAAACTTAACCAAATCTAAGTTTAGAATTGTGATATTTCATCTACGTTTATTCAATGTTTGTCATGTAAAAACTGCCCAAAATAACCTGTTTGTACAAGATTTTGTACTAAGGAGATACTTCTTTGCTCCATAGCACAACCGTGAAGCCACAAACTGACTCAGCTGTGAACAAAAGTAGCGTGACAAAAATTATTTTTGGCCAAACTGT